TTTATATTCAATCGTATATTATATAAAATCGCAGAAGTCATTTCAATACATGCATAAATTACATTTCCTAAAAATAAATTATTATAATTAACAATAAAGAAAATTTAAATTATTCTACAATAATTTCTAACAAAATTTAATGGGATATTTGTTGCGATAATCTTCAGCAATTTTTTCAAAATTTGGTTCCCGCGTTATTAAATAGAGATTATAATTGTGTACTGACCTTAAAAGTAATGGCTGCTAATTTATAATGTGAAGAACAATACATGAATCTTTCAATTTTTGTAACAAATGTAACGTCTAAATTTGCTAAATATCAAGTAATGCATGCATGCAGTGACACGCATTGCATGGTGGGGGTACGATCCAGGCCTCGTTATTCCTAATACCAGTAGTCCAGTAAAACCAAGAAAAGCCCCAATCTTATCGAGCAATAATTATAAAATAGAAAAAACAAATTTTTTCTATTCTATAATTAATGCTCGGTTAAACCGTAATTTTACTCGATACATGTTCACTTGGCGCTAATGGCAGAAATAGACACGCAAATCAAGTGGATAAACAAGTTGTTTAGACTGTTAAAAGGGAAATCGGTGTTCACACTGGGATATTTTATAGCAAGTTTTTGATGTTTATTGTTTCTTGTGTTAATAATTTACTGCAAATTGATTAACATACGCCATTTTATAGTGAAAATTAGATGTACCCCTTCGATTTACGCTCGTACCCCTAGGGGTACATGTACCCCCGGTTGAGAACCACTGATATATAACAAACAATGACGAAATCCTAACGGTTTCTTTACAATTATCGTTGAATAATTCATTCATTTTCTCATTTGTCTAGAAAAAGAAGGAAGCAGTTTTCAGTTTTCAATAAAATCGGAATTCCCGGGCCTCAACCAAACATATTTTTTGGAAATTTGTTGGAATTATTTTTAAAGGTAAATTCTAAATACATTCTAAATTTAGCGTTATACAGATAATTATAATTTGTTTTTATAGGGACCTTTACGGACCCACAAAGAGTGGATTTCCAAATATGGCAAAGTTCTAGGGTAAGACAGCTTTATCCTTTTAAATTACAATAAAACAAATATTGTAAAATTAATATAATTTCAGATATTATTATGGCACGACTCCGGTTTTGTTTGTTACAGACACCGAATTATTGAAAAATGTTCAAATCAAAGATTTCCATAATTTTTCAGATCGACCGGTGAGCAAAGTTTAGTTTAATTAATATAGAATATTACTCTACACATTATGTACAAGTGAAAAAATATTTTAGAGTCTCCATGCAGAAAGCAACAAGGTGTCTTCAAATCGATTAGCTTATCATTTAATTAGTTTGAAAGGTGCAAAATGGAAGCAGATGAGAAGCGTAGTTACACCTTCTTTTACCACAAGCAAGATGAAACTGGTATAAAAGTATAAAATCGTTATAATTTATACTATAGCAAGTATATATAATCATATATAACATTTAATATTATGCATTAGATGTCGCCCATTNATAGCAAGTATATATAATCATATATAACATTTAATATTATGAATTAGATGTCGCCCATTATAAACGATGCCATTGAACTTCTGTTAAACAATTTTGAGAAATTTTGTGAATCGGGAGAAGCATTTGAATCCTATGCTCTATATCAAAGGCTGACCATGGATGTAATTGTCAGAACGGCCTTTGGTTTTCAGTCCGATATTCAGATAAATCCCAAAAGTTCTCTTTATAAATTGTCCAATATTTTAATTCATGCACCCTTTAAACATTTGTTTATACTCTTTACAAGTGAGTCATTTTTATTTTATATAAATCAAACTTTAATAAATAAATTTCTAAAAGAATTCGTATTAATATATCATAAATTTTTCAAATGCTTATTATAGCTTTTATTTTTTAAAATATTTTTATGTTACGCAGATTGGATACAATGTAAACCGTCTGTTGATATTATAAATTGTAATTAGCTTTGAATCAGTTACAAATGTGAAATAATCGCAGACAATTAAAAGAAAATAAGTTTAAAAACAATAATTAAATTCAATTTTAAATCTTTCGCAATAATATTTTAATATAAATTTTGTAGTTTAATATACCTTAAGTTTTCATTTTAATATTTATCAAGGATATCTTTGTTTATACTTATTTTTCATTAGGATCTTTTGAGTTTCTCCAACCGTTTTTTCGACTTGTTCGCATCATTTTTGGTGCGATAATCAACAGAGGTAGAAATCCTCTCAAGGAATTGTTAGATAATTGTGAAGCCATCATCAACTCTCGCAAGAAAGATCCCACAGTAAAGATACGAATTTCATACTTATTTAATATTCATTTAATATTAATATCAATATTTAATATCAATACACTGAATAGTTATGAAATTACTTTCTCTGGAAAGAAAAACGGATAAAGACATCGCTGTAGACATTAGCAAATACAGTACTACTAATAGTAAATACTGTAGTGCTTATCTAGAAATATGTTGAAGCTGTTTATCAAAGAGGAAGCTAGTTTAAAGTTTTATCACCAGGGAAATAAATGGCATTGGAAACATAATCTAAAACACTGAAATCAAAATTTCATGTTACTGATTTCACGAATATGTTATTGAAGCCACTGCTCAATGTGTTAGCCATCACTAAGGCTGACATGATGAAATAATGAACTATATGAGCAACTGATTTGTACATTGCCTTTTGTTAGCGTAAGTGCATGAATTTCACCATTTTCATTGATGTAATTTGAAACCGAAAAACAGCAGTACTGGACGTTCTGTTTAATGTTTATTATCATATCCACAGACGAGTATACGCCGTCGTCATACGCTGTCTTTCCGCAATCGCAATGATTGTAGTAGCAGGGACTGAAGAAAATTTAAAAAATACTTTATTGTTGCACGCAGCAGTTCCTTTACCTTTTGACCATATTCAAAGGTATATTCCCCTTTATGCAAAGACAGAATCAAATGCACGAAATTATGGTCCATGCTTTTATTCTCAGCATGTCGTTTCTACTGACAGACAGAATATTGAATAGCTGCTGCAATATCATATTTGTGAAATCGATTTTAATCTGTTTTTTCTTCTTTTTTTTTTGGTCTTGCTTATTTTCCTAGTAACAAAATTTGATCTAATTTTCACATTAAAATGCTTCTGCGTATTATAAATAAGCCACCTGTCAACTTTGCAGCGATATCTCTCCTCGGTTTACCTAGAAGAGACTGCAATTTAAAGAAACGTGTCTTTTAATCACTTAATACATTACTTTTCGCGTATACAGAAAAGACGAACAGATTTTCTCCAGTTGATGATCGATGCCCGAATCGAAGACAAAGCCAACATTGATTATCAATCACTAGCTGCTAGCGAAAGCGTCGACAAAGAAAGTAACGAGAAAGAATTAATTAACGGTATTTCCTGTATTAAGAACACAAATATCCAATGAAACTTTGTTCCTTCTAAACTGGTATTTTCATTTGTAGGCACTTCCAACTCTAGATCATTGACCATGGACGAAATGGTAGGAAATGCATTCGTATTCCTTCTTGCTGGGTATGAAAAATTCAATATGATTGACTTGTTTATGTTAATTTGGAGTGTTTATTTACAAACATTTAACAAATGTTAGGTTCGAAACTACAAGTACAGCTTTATCTTACTGCTCTCTGATGCTGGCTAATTTTCCGGAAGTTCAAGAGAAGATTAGAAAAGAAGTAAATGCTCTGATGGAAGAAGAGGTAAATGATCCTCAATGTTTGGATTATTTATCCTGTCGTTTTCTGTATAATATAAATAATGTTTATACAGGAAGAATTAGATTACGGTTCAGTACAGAAATTGCAATATTTGGATCAAGTACTCAAGGAGACACTTCGTTTGTATCCGCCTATTTATTTGTGAGTAGATTTTTTTTTTACAGAAATAATAAAAGTTCACAAATTATTTGATAACAGTATTCTAGACTTGGCATATAAAATAATTGTATGCAAAACAGTTTAATATCAACACAAGTTTATTTGTAACATTTAAAATTACATCAATTGTAATAATAGAAAGTAGTAAAATATTACAGAATATAAAATATTGTGGAGCTAAAGATTTGCATAGAAAACTGTTTATCAAATAATAGTTATAAATTAATAATTTAAAAGCAAACATAAACACATATTATACAGACAGCTTCTTTCCTTTGATATAACTCCACTCTATTTAAGTCTACTTCGACTATGTAAATCGGAGTTATAGAAAGTTAGATTAAACAAAATAAAATTTTATATATTAAACAACAAAATAAATTGTATCAATAATACAAGTTATATTAATAATACGTTCGTTATAAATTCATTCAAAGCAATATTTTCTACAAACTTTGAACTTTTCTCAGATTTGTAAACAGAGAAGCTTCCGATAATGTTCAATACGAAAATATATTTATTCCGAAAGGAATGTCTATTCAAGTTCCAGTTTACTGGTTACATCGCGATCCGAATAACTGGGAAAATCCCGAAGAATTTCGTCCAGAAAGGTAAAATATAAGATTTAAATATCTATTGTGTTAGTTTATTAACACACTTTGCACGCTGGTGTTACAGGTTTGCTCCAGAGAATGCAAACAAACACAATCCTCTTTCGTGGCAACCGTTTGGAGCGGGACCCAGAAACTGCGTGGGAATGAGATTCGCAATGATGGAAGCCAAATTAGTTTTGGCTCGGCTATTACAAAAATACCGTGTATTGCCGTGTGAAAAAACCGACAAGGTAATTGATTTTTGAGTGCCATAGTCAGATTATAATAATAACTTAATTTAATAATTTATATGATGATTAATTTTGTATTTTTTTTAGCATCCCATTCAGTTGAAACCTTCGCCGATTGCCGTTAGACCGAAGTATGGAGCTTATGTTAAATTAGAGCGTTGCTGATTATTCTATATTGTTATGGAATTATCAAAACATTTTGCCAATTAAAATGTTTTTTGTTAAATATGTGAATAATTTGCTACTAAATTTGAAAAGTTTATAAATAAAATAAATATAAAGAAAAAACATTTTGAATTTTTCTAATCATTTACAAATTGTGTAAATTCAGAGTTACATGAATATGGGAAATTGAGGAATATTTTTTCTACATGTTAACCCAACATTACATGTTGGGTTATCTGTTATAAATCTGTTATAAGAGCTATTTGTTTTATTATTTTCCTTTAACTTTTAAAGGTAAGTTGAATGTATACGGTTGATAACGTGACGTACTAGATTAGGAAATCACCTTTGAACGTGTCGAAAATATCGGTGACGTGTTGCAACGTCACGATACAATAGGTTCTACATTGATTTCTTCAATGAAAATACTTAATTTTAATATAAAATACTAAATGATATTTTAAAATAATATGTTAAACTGAAATTTTCTTCGTCTACGTTCTCATCCTCACTACTTTTGAAGTACAGGTCGAGTACCTGAACTTCGAAAGAGTATCAAGTTGTTTAAAATATATTATGCATTGTATATCTGCTATAAGCTGTTTATTATGTTTATAATAAGAACTTGTTATCAGGATTGGAAATTTATGTTTTTCTGAAATAAAACAATAATACACGTTTTATTTAGAAACCTTTATTTTTTTGTGTTAAAAACAGTTTAATATTATGAAGAAGCAGCACGCTGGGTACTACTATCAAATCCATCCAATACAAGCGAGCCATAGATGGGTTTGACAGTTTTAAGTTTTAATGTCTAAACGCTGAGTTTTTGGGTTATTGGAATATTGGAAACTTGGGGGAGCGATCGCCCCCATCTCCATACTGAATCTGCGCCTGCAACACAGCTAATGTATTGTAATATTACTTGAATGGAAAAAAAGAAAAACATTATTATCGTTGTTACTTGTTAAGTGAAAAACGAGTGCAGGAAGACGGCTTGATAATATCTGGAACCAGTACAAACGAATTTCTGGATATCCATGAAAACCAGCATGCAGGATGCAATGCAAAATATGTACGAAAGAAATGGCTGGATTAGTCACTCGTGTGAAAAAACGTATTGAAGATAACCACCTACAGGATGATATACAGGAATTGAACAGGTGGGTGAGTATTTTGAACCATTATAAGTTTTAAAATTTTCTATAACTTGCTGTAAAGTTTTACATGGCTAGACAGCGGACATACAGGCCCTTAAAAGTGGCGTTTTAGGCGCTGAAAATAAGCTCTTAAATTGAGACTTTTAGGCTTTATAAACAAAAAAAAAAAAAAAAAAAAGCGGTTAAAACGACTATCTGTACAAACACACCATCATTGTTCATAGATATATGTATTACAAATCTAATTGTTTAATCTTAACGCCATTTCTATCACAACGAACGAGTCAAATCTCTGAACAACGGCCACTGACGGAAATGTAAAAATTGGCCACTGTTGAAAGGTGACCGTTATGGCCATTAGAGATTCAACTGTATTTGGAAAAGAAAATCATTTTAAATTTATAATTTTAATATGCTAAATTTTATTACACAGAGTGTAAGCATTGTATCAAATAAACCATTTATCTATATGAGATACAAATTCTTATGATTTTTTACAGAAAACAATTCAATTTTCAAGAAACAAACCATGGAAATCAGCAGGTATAATGGATCCAGTCATAAAATCTACTCTGGCTACTTCATTAAAGTTCTGTGCATCCAAAATTACAAGAGAAACTTTTTCTTCGTTGTCATCGTGTAACACTGAAAATAATATCACTCCTTCGTCTTCCACAAGAGAATTTGGTTTCTGAACAAAGACTGCCTCTGAAGGAGATGTATTAGGTTCGTTCCATTTCAGTATTGACTTGTTCTTAACATCTACTTTGATCAAACATCTCTCTTCAATTGAAGCTACAAATCCGATTCCATAGAAGTATTGATAAGGTTTACCGTTATATACTTTATAATTGATGGTTGGTAATTCCATCATTGTGACTTCCTCGGGAGTTAGGCTTTCGTATTGGCACATGATTTTTCCATCTTTCTGAAGATACGCTTTTGCTTGCGAATATTCTAATTTAACTAAATTCTCTTCTGGATTAACCTTACCGGATTTCTGAATGTTTAATGGTAAAACAAATCGTCTTGCATGGCAACTATTGATAAATTGTTTGGCCTTTGTATTTTTATCGAAAATTAACGATTTAACAAAGTCGGCATTGTCGTAACAACAAATATCTAAAATAAGATGGTCATTTTCTTCATATGTGTTTATTTGATGAAAGAACATGAAAGCTTCCGTAGTATATATTGTCGGCAATCTCTCTCCCGTCTTAACATTTACAACATGAAAATAAGTATTTTCTTTCGGATAATAATGTAAACAATCATTATAACTTTTCATAGTTATGCCTCTAGTGGACATGGCAAGAAGTGACATCATATACGATTGTTCTACAAAAATTATATAATTTTCAGACATTCCAAAGCTATGTTGATAACTTAAATAAAATCGATACTTGGAAGGAATGGAACAGATAATGGAGGCCTCTTGAAACATATCTTTGTCATTTTCTTTTGCAGGAAACTTCAAGATATTGTACGTGGGATATCCACCAACACTTCCACTACCCACATTATACACTGATCCGTCAGGAGAGCAATGAGTATGAGCTGTTGCATTGAATACAGATAAGTATTTTGATAAGTCGACTTTGTCGAGTGTTTCTAGTGTCTTTACGTCTATCTTTCTAATATACTTAGTTTCTGTACAAGCATATATATCGTCTGCGTATTTAGTAAAATGTATGAGATCATTATCTGTCACTTCTGCAGGGGAAAATATGGAGGAAATTCTTTGGTAGAGAGTTTTACACGGATCGGGAAAAGCCGTGGTGCCAAATTCCGAAACCACTATTCTCTGTGCAGCCATATTTTTCTTGTAACTATCACTGTGTAGGAACCGATTCTGATAAGTAACGGATCCGTCGGCAATATTGAATTTATGCATGAGAGCCAAACCGTCGAAAACGTGTTTATATTTATCTTGTCCTACCTCGTAAGCTCCCCCGCCGTTTCTTATAAGGCAACCTTTCAGCCATGTTGGAATTTCACCCGTTACCGTCCCGTCGATTGGTTCAACGACGTCCTTCTTACACGATCTCTGTCCATAGAACGACATTTTGATGCTTTAAAGCCTGTCGAATGTGTGCCGTTAAATACATATATCGATATCGATACGAGTTAATCTACGCTCACGCCACATAGCTATTACCAAGGTTACACAGAGGAACGTGTCAACAAGGTCATTTTAATAGATAACAAGGCGACGTTTCCTACATTAATAACAGTAGAAATGGATTTTGAACACGTCTGAATTGCTGATAAATTTAGATATTTCGAAAAATATTTACGAACGGAAGATGCAACAGGCTGCAATCACTATAATCAGTCTGTCTATCTATATAAACGACTCAGCAAAATTTATATATTTATCATCCTCTTTTTTTCTATTTCTTTAAGACATCTGATATGTTGGTTAATTTATTAACTAAATANTAAACTCTCAATATAATCTAACTTAGACACTCGTGAAGATGGAGAGGTTGCATTACTCTTTATGTAAATTATACCATTTTTTAGTCCAAGTATTTAATATTTTCCCCTCCTTATTTAAAACTCTAGTTTTATATATACATATATATATATATATTTCTATCACATACGGTGTAAGATGATCATTTATATAAATTTTATGTTCTTCATTAATTATATTACATGAACTAGAAGTAATTTTGAGTTTATTTTCTTTAATTTTATCAGTAATTTTTTGCTTGGATGTAATATTTGCTAATTTCACTATAATCGGCTTTAATTTACATGTCATTGAATTTCTTTCACTTGAAAGGAGTTTAGGCCTATAGGCATTTACAATAGATAATTTATCAAATGTATTAATCACAAATGTCATAATAGTTATTTAATCTCGTGTAGGATATTTTTATACTTGTGAATTTTAATAACATAGTTAAAAATTTCAAACAATTGAGCAATTGTTTAACTAAGAATAACCTATAATATCTTATCGCGTTGATAAGAAATTAAATCAGTTCGAACAGACATTAATGCAGTATAAAAGTCATTTTCGTGTTGAATGTTTTTTCATATGTAAATTATCTGACCCATTTGTAGCATCTGAACATGACAAACTCAAAACAAAATAAAAGATTCTTTGAGAATTCCCACCCAAAATAAATTTATCTGTATTTTAATAATTATCTCTTGTCTGTTTTCTCAGACGTAAATGTAATCAGAGTTACAGAGTGGAAAAAATCGAAGCGATTACGAAACAAAAATTTTGCCTCTTGTTTATATCTGATTCTGCAGGCATTTTATTATACATTTATGCTCAAAATAAGCATAATCTTCCAGCAAGAATAAACATTGTCAAGATGAGCAAACGTTTCTAGATGATAAACACGCTATTGAAAGACTAGAATACAGTCTCAGAGAGATTTGCCCAGCATCTGAATATGCCACACAGCATCATATCCAGGCGTTGAGCAAGATTTCAAAGAACAGATGATGTCGGACCCCCAAGAGTTAATCTCTCTCAACAAGACCGCTATTTGACATTAACAACGCGACCTAACAGAAGAATATCTGGTACGACGTAGCTGTTATCTGATCAGCTGTCTAAAGCTACTGGTATTATCGTATTTTCATTACAAACTGTTTACAGGAGACTTCCGGAAAATGATATTTTTTGCCAAACCCTCATTATGTTGTGTTCCATTGATCTTGTGCACAGAAGCTCCCGTTCAAGACGTGTCAAGAAAATCGACACTGAACTTTGAATAAACGGACAATGTGCTCTTCATTGTCGAGTTTAGTTACAGTCTATAGAATGAATCTCGGGGGATTAGAATCTGTAGTGACAGGGAAACCTAAAACTACACGACGAAGAAGGGAAGAATAATTGTTTTATCACTATTATTATTTAATTTACCTTTTTTTGAATTTTTTACATACATATTTTATATTTAAAATATATTAACTTCTGAGAATGTATGAAAATTTCTATCAATGTAATTATAAAAGATGAAATTAACTCATTAAAACTTTGAAATATTCATTATCATGCTATGTAAGGTTACTGTTTAACGTACGTTATTTGGAATTTCACAGCAATTATATATATTTATATTATGATTATTCAAAAATATTTTTCCTAATCATATAAAGTATAAATCATTAATTTTTTGGATCTAATTTCGACAATTCGTTCTAAGAAAATCGTTGTTACGCCAGCAATTTCTATTTCCTACGAATTCAAAGATTTATAAGAATGATGAGGCATTTTATTATCACGATAACAATTAATATGCAGCTTCTTTACNACTTAAAACCACTTTCAGCCCCATATCTCCCACACCCTTATAGCTATCAAGACGCAACCCCCATAGTGCACAAATGGAAACTTGGGGCTACCACCACATACAAACAGCATTCATGTGCGATGTGTAGTTTTTGCGGAAAAGTGAAATATAGGGACACACACGTTTATTTATATATATATATATATTATGATTGATCAAAAATATTTTTCCTAATCATATAAAGTATAAATCATTAATTTTTTGGATCTAATTTCGACAATTCGTTCTAAGAAAATCGTTGTTACGCCAGCAATTTCTATTTCCTACGAATTCAAAGATTTATAAGAATGATGAGGCATTTTATTATCACGATAACAATTAATATGCAGCTTCTTTACGAAATGAACAATTCAGTGAGCGATAAGTAATCGTGCATTCACATTTTGTTGAGTTTAATTCACGAATGAATTCTTCAATATATACTTCAATTGATTAATTTGTATGTCGTTCTGTGTTTTAACTATATCGATAGGCAGACGTTTAATTTCTTGCCAAAATTCTACGTAGATCTTAAAATCTCCAATGATAAGTAATTTATAGTTCCTTAGTTTAGTAATATTGAAATGAATTATAAAAATTACTACATAGAAAAATAAACTGTAGTTTGAAGACGGAGATCGGTAAACAACCATAATGAAAATTTTATTGACAGATATTGTCATCACATCTATATACTCTTTAGTAAATGTCAAATTAGGTATTACATCATAAATCAAATCTTTATTTATATACAAAACTATACCTCCGTGTTGATTAGGTTGTCTTTCGATTTTTTCCACATTAAAATTATTTATTTTAAACGAAGTGTGGGTTTCTTTAGTCCATGTCTCACAAAAAGCCAGTACAGGTAACCCCCGTATAACACGGCACTTCTACAGCACGGATTCACTCTAACACGGTTCAAGAATTGGTACCATCCCCCGTATAACACGGCACTTCTATAGCACGGATTCACTCTGACACGGTTCGAGAATTGGGTAAAACCCTCGTACAACAGGAAATGTAATAAATTTTTACATACTTAAGTAATAATAGTTTACGAAAATTATTATTTTCGTGAACTATTAGTACTTAAGTATGTAAATTTNACTATACCTCCGTGTTGATTAGGTTGTCTTTCGATTTTTTCATATTAAAATTATTTATTTTAAACGAAGTGTGGGTTTCTTTAGTCCATGTCGCACAAAAAGCCAGTATTCCAAAATTACAATCATATCCAGATATAATATGATTTATCTCCTGATATTTACTATTTAAACATATTACATTACTATAAAACATATAGAGTCCGTCCCTATAAAAATTAATTATCTTATTATATTTTAATAAATCATCCATCAGGAAATTTACTCTCAATATACTCTAACTTAGACACTCGTGAAGATAGAGAAGTTGCATTACTCTTTATGTAAATTATACCATTTTTTAGTCCAAGTATTTAATATTTTCCCCTCCTTATTTAAAACTCTAGTTATATATATAGGCCTGTATATAAAAGGATTTCTATCACAAACGGTGTAAGATGATCATTTATATAAATTTTATGTTCTTCATTAATTATATTACATGCACTAGAAGTAATTTTGAGTTTATTTTCTTTAATTTTATCAGTAATTTTTTGCTTGGATGTAATATTTGCTAATTTCACTATAATCGGCTTTAATTTACATGTCATTGAATTTCTTTCACTTGAAAGGAGTTTAGGCCTATAGGCATTTACAATAGATAATTTATCAAATGTATTAATCACAAATGTCATAACCTTATAAACAATATCAATTAACTTTTCATTTAACAAAGTAAGAAGTCCAGCAATTTCTAAACTTGTATTATTAACATCTTGCTCCATAGACCTTAATTTTTCTTGTATTATATTTAATTCTCGTTTCATTGTAGAATTTTCTTGTTTTAAATCTGAAATTTCTTCAGAAAGACTTTTATTATTTATCTCCAGAGAGTTAAAACGGTCGGTAAAATTAACACCGTCAATAGAACAATAGAACTAGTAATTGATTGAAAAGTATAAAACAATAATTGCGTGCAGAAACAAAAATTTTATCAATGAACAATATATTAAAATATAAATTTTAAAGTGTCATTTGTGTCAAAATTATTCAATTTTTTCCCTTACTTTTCACGAGTATGATGTGAAATTTTCTAATGGTGAGAAAGAAATACTATATTTATTTTAATAAAAATTATAAAAATTTATCCTTGCATTCAAGAGATGTTATTAAATTCAAGAAATGCTTTAATGATTTTCTGCCATGTGTTAAGTTCTGAATACCCTAATTGTAGATTTACACGATAATCGGTTTACGTGGTTCGAATTAATAATACTAGAAATATGCAAGAAAATTTTAGTTTAACATATTATTTTAAAATATAATTTAATATTTTATATTAAAATTAACTATTTCCATTGAAAAAATCAATATAGAACCAACTGTATCGTGATGTTGCAATATGTCACTGCTACTATCGACACGTTCAAAGGGAATTTCCTAATCTAGTACGTCACGTTATCAATCGTATACATTCAACTTACCTTAACGTTTACAAATTTATTAAAAAATTCAAAATGTTTTTTTCTTTATATTTATTTTATTTATAAACTTCTCAAATTTAGCAACAAACTATTCATGGCCGAGTATTATTCATATCTTCAACAAAAAACATTTTAATTGGCAAAATGTTTTGATAATTCCATAACAGAATATAGAATGATCAGCAACGCTCTAATTTAACATAAGCTCCATACTTCGGCTTGATGGAAACCGGCGTAGGTTTCAACCGAATGGGATGCTAAAAAAAATACAAAATTAATCATCTTATAAATTATTAAATTAAGTTATTACAGTATTATAACCTGACTACAGCACTCAAAAATCAATTACCTTGTCGGTTTTTTCACACGGCAATATACGGTATTTTTGTAATAGCCGAGCCAAAACTAATTTGGCTTCCATCATTGCGAATCTCATTCCCACGCAGTTTCTGGGTCCCGCTCCAAACGGTTGCCACGAAAGAGGATTGTGTTTGTTTGCATTCTCTGGAGCAAACCTGTAACACCAGCGTGCAAAGTGTGTTAATAAACTAACACAATAGAGTATTTATAATTGATTTTGTATACTAGTATTTTCTATATATTAACAGGACTTATTATACTGGAAAATTATGCATGCAGATATCTAGTCTTACAGTTAAAAATAATGTTCTTTATTTAGTTCACCTGAAAAATATGGAACGCTTCACAATTTTGCGTGATGCGTTCCATATTTTTCATAATAAAAAACATTATTTTGAACTGTAAGACTAGATATCTGCATCCATAATTTTCCAGTATAATAAGTCCTGTTAATATATAGAAAGTTCTAGTATACAAAATCAATTATAAATAGTGAATAAGGACAAAAAGGCATAAAAATTAACACAATAGATATTTAAATCTTATATTTTACCTTTCTGGACGAAATTCTTCGGGATTTTCCCAATTATCCGGATCGCGATGTAACCAGTAAACTGGAACTTGAATAGACATTCCTTTCGGAATAAATATATTATCGTATTGAACATTATCGGAGGCTTCTCTGTTTACAAATCTGAGAAAAGTTCAAAGATGTAGTAAATATTCCTTTGAATAGATTTATAACGAACGTATTATTAATAGAACTTGTATTATTGATAAAATTTATTTTGTTGGTTAATATATAAAATTTTATTTTGTTTAATCTAACTTTCTGTAACTCCAATTTACATAGTCGGAGTAAACAGAGTGGTATTGAGTTATATCGATGTATAATATATTTTTAAATTTGGTTTTAAATTATTAATTTATAACTATTATTTTGATAAACAGTTTTCTACGCAAATCTTTAGCTCCACAATATTTTATATTCTGTAATATTTTACTACTTTCTATTATTACAACTGATGTAATTTTAAATGTTACAAATAAACTTGTGTTGATATTAAGCTGTTTTGCATACAATTATTTTATATGCCAAGTCTAGAATACTGTTATCAAATAATTTGTGAAGTTTTATTATTTCTGGGTAAATAAAACATAAACTACTCACAAATAAACAGGCGGATACAAACGAAGTGTCTCCTTGAGTACTTGATCCATATATTGCAATTTCTGTACTGAACCGTAATCTAATTCTTCCTGTATAAACATTATTTATATTTATTGAGAAAACGACAGCATAAATAATCCAATCATTGACGATCATTTACCCCTTCTTCCATCAGATCATTTACTTCTTTTCTAATCTTCTCTTGAACTTCCGGAAAATTAGCCAGCATCAGAGAGCAGTAAGATAAAGCTGTACTTGTAGTTTCGAACCTAACATTTGTTAAATGTTTCTAACTAAAACACTCCAAATTAACGTAAACAAGTCAATCATATTGAATTTTCTGAATTTTTCATACCCAGCAATAAGGAATAATAATGCATTTCCTACCATTTCGTCTATGGTCAATGATCTAGAGTTGGAAGTGCCTACAAATGAAAATACCAGTTTAGAAGGAATAAAGTTTTCATTGGATATTAATGTTCTTAATACAGGAAATACCGTTAATTAATTCTTTCTCGTTACTTTCTTTGTCGACGCTTTCGCTAGCAGCTAGAGATTGATAATCAATGTTGGCTTTATCTTCGATTCGGGCATCGATCATCAATTGGAGAAAATCTGTTCGTCTTTTCTGTATACACGAAAAGTAATGTATTAAGTAATTAAAGATACATTTCCCTACATTGGAGTCTCTTCTAGGTAGACGGAGGAGAGATATCGCTGCAAAGTTGTCAGGTGGCTTATGTAGAATACGCAGAAGCATTTTAATGAAAAATTAGATCAAATTTTGTTACTAGGAAAAAAAGAAGAAAAAAACAGATTAAAATCGATTTCACGAATATGATATTGCAGCAGCTACAGTACTCAATATTCTGTCTGTCAGTAGAAACGACATGCTGAGAATAAAAGCATGGACCATAATTTCGTGCATTTGATTCTGTCTTTGCAGAAACGGGAATATACCTTTGAATATGGTCAAAAAGTAAAGGAACTGCAGCGTGCAGCAATAAAGTATTTTTTAAATTGTCTTCAGTCCCTGCTACTACAATCATTGCAATTGCGGAAAGACAGCGAATGACGACGGCGTATACTCGTCTGTGGATATGATAGTGAACATCAAACAGAACGTCCAGTACTGCCGCACAAATCAGTTGCTCATGTTGTTCATCATTTCATCATGTCAGGTTTTGTGATGGCTAACACATTGAGCAGTGGTTTTAATAACATATTCGTGAAATAAGTAAACATGAAATTTTGATTTCCTTGTTTTAGATTGTGTTTCCATTGCCGTTTATTTCCCTGATGACAAAACTTTAAACTAGCTTCCTCTTTGATAAACAGCTTCAACATATTTCTAGATAAGTACTATCTACTAATGTCTACAGCGATGTCTCTATCCGTCTTTCCATCCAGAGAAAGTAATTTCATAACTATTCTATGCATTGAAATGAATATAAAATAAATATGAAATTTGTATCGTTACTGTAGGATTATTCTTGCGAGAGTAGATGATGGCTTCACAATTATCTAACAATTCATTCAAAGGATTTCTACCTCTGTTGATTATCGCACCAAAAATGATACGAACAAGTCGAAAAAACGGTTGGAGAAACTCAAAAGATCCTAACGAAAAATAAGTATAATAAACGAAGATATCCTTGATAAATATTAAAATGAAAACTTAAGGTACATTAAGCTACAATATTTATCATATATTAATACTTGAAGCGTGCAATAACATAATGTTGTAAATGCCATTTTTCTCTACATACGGTTTAATGAAGTATTAAATTCTAAATGCATTGTTTTCTTCCACAAAAGAATATTGGCGATATTGGCACTATAAGTGGCTGTATTTTGGAGATGAATTCGTGTGAGTGCCATTTAAGGCGCCAGAGTGCAAGTCACTTGACTTTTGGTGTTTAAAACGTTACGGCTTATACTTACGTCGATTTGATTTTCCAGAAAATTTGTAACCTAGTAAGTTTTATCATTATATCGTAAAATTCAAATGAATTCATTTATTCAAAAAAGTTTCTTTTACCTCTCCTGAAAAGTTTCTTTTTTGGCATTTACAACATTATGGTATTACACGCTTCACTTATTCTTTTAGAAATTTATTTATGGAAGTTTGATTTATATAAAATAAAAATGACTCACTTGTAAAGAGTAGAAACAAATGTTTAAAGGGTGCATTCATAAAAATCTTGCACAATTTATAAAGAGAACTTTTGGGATTTATCTGAATATCGGTCTGGAAACCAAAGGCAGTTCTGACAATTACATCCATGGTCAGCCTTTGGTACAGAACATAGGAATCAAACGCTTCTTTCGAGACACATAATTTGTCACAATTGTTTAACAGAAGTTCAATGGCATCGTTTATAATGGGCGACATCTAATGCATAATATTAAATGTTATATATGATTATATATACTTGCTATAGTATAAATTATAACGATTTTATACTTTTATACCAGTTTCATCTTGCTTGTGGTAAAAGAAGGTGTAACTACGCTTCTCATCTGCTTCCATTTTGCACCTTTCAAATTAAGTAAATTATGAGCTAATCGATTTGAAAGTTGCTCTTTGCTTTCTGTATGGAGAATCTAAAAATTTTTTCACTTGTACAGAATCTTTAGAGTACTATTCTATGTTAAAATAAACTTTCCTCACCGCTCGATCTGAAAAATTATGGAAATCTTTGATTTGAATATTTTTCAATAATTCCGTGTCTGTAACAAACAAAACCGGAGTCGTGCCATAATAATATCTGAAATTATATTAATTTATAATATTTATATTTATTATAATAAACAATAAACAAGGATAAAGCTGTCTTACCCTAGAACTTTGCCATATTTGGAAATCCACTCTTTGTGGGTCCGTAAAGGTCCCTATAAAAACAAATTATAATTATCTTCATAACGTTAAATTTAAAATGTATTTAAAATTTACCTTTAAAAATATTTCCAACGAATTTCCAAAAAATATGTTTGGTTGAGGCCCGGGAATTCCGATTTTATTGAAAACTGAAAACTGCTTCCTTCTTTTTCTAGACAAATGAGAAAATGAATAAATTATTCAACGATAATTGTAAAGAAACCGGTAGGATTTCTTCATTGTTTGTTATATATTATAAGAATTTTTTATTATACCAGTTAATAACAATTTCACAAATAATTTTATATGAAATATTTGTAAACATTTCTGAATAAATTTTAAATAAAACTTCATAGAATATTCTTTAATAAATGTTTAATAAAATGAGATTGTGTAAATCAGAACACATTTTATAAGAGTATAAAATCTTTATAATGTTTGCCGTATTCTTTTGATATGTGTACAAACTATAATACTTTTTAAAAATAATAATAAAAGAAAAAGTTTATTAAAATATACATGTGTAAAAACAGTTTTGTTTGATCAAAACACCGTTATTTTGATATAATATTGCACACAGTTCCTACCCTTTATCGATTTCATTGTATTCTTTTGTTTATGTACAGATAAAAAATGAAAAATAAAAAAAAACATTATAATTATAAGCTGATTAGAATACCATTTGATTACAGCAAGCCAATAACACAGGTCGTTTTAAACGAAACGGGCTACCTCATTGGCGTTTAGTATCAACATTAAAACTATCGCACCTAGCAACTACAGTATTAAAATCGTATTACCAAGCAATATTAAAAATGAATAAATATTGAACTCACAATTAAAATCTATTAAAATTTCATTTCATTGGGAACAATTACTATATGTAATTTAAATGAAACCATAAAAACATCTCAGACATTATAACATTATATAAATAATTTACAAAATTTAAGATAATCTAATGATAAAAGTATTGACACACCAGTCTAAACTGTTTGACTTTCAATAGAACGACATAGTATCTTGATTTTTATATTAAAACTAAAGAAAAATTATTTAATGCTTTCGGCTGAATATTTCGTATTATTGCTTAGAAATTAATTAATTAAAATTTGTACTACTTACTGATACCATAAATACAACAAAATGGAGAAAACTGGTAAAAATATTTGCAAAAACATTACGAGACAGAAGAGAAAGTAGGTAGAGTGTTGAGTAACTTGTTAAAGTTTAGTCTTTTATCAAATGAAGTGACCTTCATAATTTATACCATTTTTTTTTGCTTACAGATAACGTAATGAATTACGCTGCAGTTTTGTATTATTTATCAATGACGAATAATTATTATCGTACAGTCGACCCCCTATAACGCGGTAGATACGTTCCGCTTTACAAGGATTTCACGTTGTAGGAATCCTTAAATATATGAGCCAATCACAGCCCGGCACGTGTGAAGTTTACGGACTACGGCTGTTTGAAAGGTTTTCTTCCATAAAATTAATCGATTCTAGAGTAATTTCACTTGACATTTCCAAAACATGTATAATTTTTTGGGAATAATCTGTATAAACTATGCTATAAACGAAAAATTGTAGGATTACTTGCCGAGTGTGCACCGTTCGACGGCGCCATTGCTTAAGCTTGTTTTCGTAGGGAGCAGCGCACCAAACGGCGGGCGCGTTTTCTGATAAGTTATTTTTCTCAGTGGCGTACCGAAGGGGGGCGGTAGGGGCGGCACTTTTTAGGAGGCGGCAAAATTTCACAATAAATAATAATAATATCTTGTAAAAATTTGAAACATCGTAATCCATACTTGCATCGCGCCTATAGTCCGGACAGTCCGGGAATTGGCTCGCCGGGTGAACTAGTAACTTCGTCCCAGGAATTCCTGCGTAACCTGTTGATCTTTTTTTTTATTTTTTATTTTTTGCTTGTATGATTCATTCGCGTTCATATACACCAGTAATATCCAATAGAACTATTTTAAACAGGTCGCTGCGCTGCCACCGAATTTTTCATTGCTTCTTCTGTGACAAAACTGAATTTTGGTCTTTTAAATTGAAATACCTAAATAAGGGGGGCCGAAATTTTCCTCTGCCCCGGGCGGCTGACACCCACGGTACGCCACGGTACGCCACGGTCGTTGAACTTTGGAGACATCATTAATAGAAATAATTTTTATGGCGTTAAATAAGAAATGTATAAAATTACAGTACCTAATTTATATACTGTACAGACAATAGTAAACTCAACTTACCCGCCTAAACTCTCCGTAGCGTGTAAGTAGTTCGGCTGCTCGTCCACTATTGGTCCAGATTTGACCAATCCTGTCGCGACACGAGTCTGCGATGACGTTTTATCGCATTTTATGAGTCTCTTTTAGCGTCTTTATACGAATACGGTCGCAATTTTTTCGCCGCGATATACGAATCTGCATTATATGAACCCGCGTTATAGGGAATCGACTGTATTTCATAAATGATGAAACACTTTTAATATTAAATTTACATATAATGGATTTGGTAGGTAGCAAAGGAACTTAGAAAACTTACTTTGTTACCTATGAAACATGACCCTTCAGGGTAATACTTTGAAGTGTCATATTTGATAGCCGTGTAAAAATGCCTTGTGTAATGCTCTATTACCCGATATACTGAGTAACGTGGCCACATTGTATGGCTAGAAGATATTTTGAAAATTACAGGGCGCAATTTCTATGAAAGTGACGTGTTTATTAAACATTTAAGTACTGTACAGTAGACCCCCCTATAACGCTTAGATACGTTCCACGCTAATCGAATTTTACGTTGTAGGAATGATTAAATACATGAGCCAATCGCAGCCCGATAGGTGTGAACTTTACGGACTAAGGCTGTTTGAAAGGTTTTCTTCTATAAAATTAACCGATTCTAGACTAATTCCACTCAACATTTCCAAAACACGTATAATTTTTTGGGAATAATCTGTATAAACTATGCTATAAACAAAAAATTATAGGATTACTTACCGAGTGTGCACCATTCGACTACGCCC